GCCCCAGACACCTCGTATCCATCTTAAGTTCCATCATTGGTTTCCACTATTTTACTCCATCAAGGTCTGTCTTTTTGTCCTCACTTCCAAGGACCTTCAAGGTCCATTCCTCCCAGCTTGTCCTGCCTTGTACTTTTTGTCTTCCACTGGACCATAAGAACATAAGAATTGCTATACTGGGCCAGACCAATTGTCCATCTAGCCTAGTATCTTGTCTCTGAGAGTGGCAGGAGTGCATGCTTTAGAAGAGCCTAAGAACAGGATATATCTAGAGCAGGGGTGAGCAAATATGGCCTTGGGCTGCAGCCCACCAAAGAATTTTATCTGGCCCACCATGGGCTAGGTCCTGCCTGCCCCAGGGGATAGCCCAGGCAGTGGCATGTGCGGCTGGTCCTACCATCCCCAGGCATGCAGCAGAGCTGGGGTGGGATGGCAGCTGGACTCCATTTCCCAGTAGCCCTAGTGGCAGCAGCAACTTCCAGCTGCCACTGCCAGCGTCACTGTCACTACCACTGCCAGCCCCAGCCCTGATTCCTGGGCATTCCAGCCTGTCTGCCCCGTATCCACTGCCAGGGGAGCCGGATGGAGTGGACAGGCAGGCAAGAGACCATGGAGACCAGTCTGGCACCCCTGCAGACAGGGCACGCTTGGCCGGGTAGATAGGATGGAGCCATGGGTGGGGAGGGAGCAGTGTCCAGGAGTGGGATGGGTAGGTCAGGCTGGGATTAGGATCATGGGGCAGTGACAGCACAGAGCCGTGCTGGGAGCAGATTGCAGCTCTGCCCCAGGCTCCGGCCCCATGCTTTCACTGCCCTGTGATCCCAGCCCCAATCCTGGCCCCACCAGCCCATCCTGCTCCTGGATGCCAGTCCCCGCCTGTCCTCAACCCCATCCCGTCCACCCAGTTGAGCGGGACCTGCCAGCAGGAGTCCCAGGCTGGTCTCCATGAAGACCCTGCTCCCCCTCCCCACCGTCTGGTGTCCCTGGACTGGTCTAGTAATCTACCACTTAGGGAGTTTTGGTGAGCTGTCGTAGGCTGGAGCGGGGAGGGAGTGCTAACTGGATCTGGTGCAGCGGAAGGCGGGTGCTGACCAGTCTGACACAGTTGGGGGGGGTGCTAACCCGTCTGGCAACAGATCACCAAAACTCCCTAAATGGACCTCCAGCCCAAATAATTGCTCACCCTTGATCTACAGTCATTTTGTCATACCTTCCCTGGATCCACCCATCATTGCTTTAGAGATGCCAGAGGATACATCCCTGACTGCACTGTTTGATAGCTATTAATGAATCAACCATCCATTAATCTGTTTATTTTGAACCTGGCTAAGTTATCTGCTTCCATAAACTCCTGTAGCAATAAAGTCCACAAGTTAACTATGCGCTACATAAAAATGTACTTTCTCTTGTTAGTTATAAACATGTCTCCTGCTAATTTCAGTGGGTGCCCCCTAATTCAAGTATTCTGAACTTGAATAACAATTCCCTATTCACTTCACATCTTCATCTGCGACTTGGATGAGGGGGTGAAAAGCACCTTGTTCAAATTCGCGAATGACATTAAGATGTGGGGAGAAGTGGGCACGCTGGAGGAGAGACAGGCTGCAACTAGATCTGGACAGGTTACAGAGGTGGGTGGATGAGAACAGGATGGGTTTCAACACTGACAAGTGCAAGGTACTGCACCTGGGGAGGAAGAACCAGCGGCATACCTACAGGCTGGGGAACTCCCTTCTTGTCAGCACAGAAGGTCATTATTGATTCCAAGATGAACATGGGCTGCCAATGTGGGGACACGGTCAGGAAGGCTAACCTCACCTTGTCATGCATCCATAGATGCATCACAAGCAGGTCCAAAGAGGTGATCCTACCCCTCTATGCAACAGTGGTCAGGCCGCAGTTGGAGTACTGCATCCAGTTCTGGGCGCCACACTTCAATCAGGGATGTGGACAGCATCGAGAGGGTCCAGAGGAGGGCCACTCGCATGATCAGGGGACAGCAAGGCAGGCCCTATGAGTGGAGGCTATGAGACCTGAACCTGTTCAGCCTCCACAAGAGAAGGCTGAGAGGGCATCTGGTGGCCATCTACAAGCTGGCCAAGGGGGACCAGCAGGCTATGGGAGAGTCCCTGT